AAATTACACTGGGAAATAACCTGAAGAAAAATTTATTATAAAAAAGCATTTTTGTAATGATTTTTTAAATGTGGTTTGGCACTGCTTAAACTGACTTTCTGTATAAAGCGAAATTCTGCCCTCATTGAAAAAGAAAGCTTCAAAAATTACTATAATCATAGAATGGTTTGGGTTGGAAGAGACCTGTAAGATCATCTAGTTCCAACACCCCTGCCATGGTCACGGACACCCTTGACCAGAGTAGGTTGCTCAGAGCCCCATCCAGCTTGGCCTTGAACACTCTCAGGGATGGGGCATCCACAGCTTCTCTGAGCAACCTGTTCCAGTGTCTCACAACCCCCACAGTAAAGAATTTCTTCCTAATACCTAACATAAACCCACCCTCTTCCAGTTGAAAGGCATTCCCCTTTGACCTATTGCTACAGGCCCTTGTAAAAAGTCTATCTCCAGCTCTTTTGTAGCCCCCTTTAGGTACTGAAGGCTGCTCTAAGGTCTGCTCAAAGGCTTCTCTTCTCTAGGCTCTCAGCTGGTCTAGATGATTGTGACTGGATCAGATAAGGCCTCTGCTTAAGAAAATTAAGTTAATTTCGGATTATATTTTATCTTCTACCAACCTGAAATGTGCTATATATACTATCTACCAGAAAATAAAATTACTGAAAGAGAGAGAAATTTTCTGATCAAGTCACAGTTGTTACTTAGGCATCAGTGATGAGATGCACAAGCGGATACTTCACACACATCCTGCATATCACTGGTCAAGAAAGTCACTATCTTCTGCTGTCACAATCATGCAGATCCTATATCTTCATCTATCCATCCTTTAAAACAGCTACATGGCATGGCATCAGCCATCTCTCCTCCTCACCCACATCCTGCTCAAGGCTATAAAAACTCTGAACTGTTCCTTGGAGGGTTGGAGCAATTGTGCTATGCCACGCAGAGAGCCTGTGGCTCAGTTTAAACAATGTGGAAATGCCCAAAAATTCTACCTAAAGACATAACACCAACACTACAAATTAAAAACAAATACTCTTTTAAGCATCAACTTCAGAACTAGGTTTCAGGTTTCTCCATTAAACTGATGCCTGAGAGCACTAGAAGCCTATGAGATTTCCAGAGCTTTTAGATGTAGTTCTTTGGAACAAACAGCAAAGTAATTGATTACTTAGTCTCCCAATCTACTCATAAACCTTCAGCCCCTCGCTTTCAGTGAAATTACAGGCATACACAAATTAAATAAATAAAATAAAAAAACTCTGATGGCACTTTACAAAGGGCTATGTGAAGCCATGAGCAAAACCTTTGCTGATTTCACAAGCAGCAGCATCAGACCTCAGTGGCAAACACCTGGCAGTGATGAAGTCAATGACAAACCCTTCACTGACTTTTGGGAATGTGAATCTCCATGGCTATGAATTTGACTTTATGCCTGTGCTACATAAAATAATTCTGCTAATAAAAACCAGATTGCTTCATAGCCTCTTTCAACCATCAAAGGCTATAGTCCACAATATGGACCACAGGAGATAAAAAGGCTGGTGCTGAGGACCTAAGTTCCACACTGTGCACCTTTCTAGAGGTTTTTATTTCACTCTAGCCTAGTTCTATGGGTTGAATGGCTACCAGACTGCACTTCTGCAGCACATCCTCCAATTTTCTTTCATTTGAAAGTAGTCCAGCCAACAAGCTCTGGGACTGCTACACAATGCATACAGTAAGTGGGGAAAATTAGGAGATGCATTTCCAAAGCACACTCATGACTTGACCTTACACACTAATGCAGATACATCCAAAGAGCCCAGAATATATTAGTGCAATAAAACGTCTAAAATTAAGGAGTACCAAGGTCCCCATGAAGAGGGTTAATAGGTAATAGGACTCACAGCCTTCAGTGCATTTCACGTGTGCAGCAACCTACAGTGAAGATCAGTTTTAAAGCAGCAGGCACTGTGTTTCTTCCAAATATGTTCATTTCCCACCTACTTGACCTTGTTACCTTCAGGACTTTTATTCAATTAGCTCTCCACATTTAGAAGGCTTTTCTATGTAGCTAAATATTTTATTTTCAGAAGATTTTGTTGATCTTTACTATCTTTTCTATTGTCTTCTTTCCTTTGACAACTTTGCAAAGTACACATTATTGCATTAAAAAGATCATCTGATGTCTCATATGCTTGCGATAAATTGGGATCCTTGCCCTCTTCACTTGGGCTCTCCCTCCCCCTTCTCAGTTTTATACTAGTCAAAAAAGATTCACTTCTCTTCTAAAAAATAATACATAAATAAATATACTGTGAGTCACAAACATTAAATACTTAATTTGAACCAGCAGAAAGACCAGCTACCGGAATTCTACAGTGGTCTGTTAGCTCATATGTCTCCGCATGTGCATATTGAAGGAAATAGCAGAAATAATACTTTACAATTTGATGAACAACATATGACACAGAACCTCTAGACTCTCAAAAAAAGGGTTACAAACTTAGGAAAATACCTGTCATGTAGAATTCTGCCCTCTCCAATAAAAAAAAAAACAACAATCCACCTACATACTCCGTACTTTCGCTAATACTGAACTGTCAGCATTAAGGCTTGATACGCAAATAAACTGGATTAAGAAAAATATAATCATTAATTCAACTGAAGTATGGGTGATAAAAAGTGACATTTTCAGAGTACATGTCGGATGTCTAAACAGAAAGGATGATTCTGTACCATCTGCTTTCGGGCAGAATCCTCCTTTGATTTCAAATATAAACTTTGCTTATAGCTGGCACCACAGTGGCTTATAATAATTTAACCACATTTCTCTTTGGAGGAAAATATAACATCACTCTCCATTTTGTCATGCACAGAGAAGGAACCCATGAACTTAATTTATACTGGAAAGAGAGAAGAAAGAGAGGAGGGAAAAGGCATATTTGATTTATCATGGTCTGTAGAATTATCTCAATGCAAGCTGCAGATAGGAGTATTATCTCCGAAAATCACAAGAAGCAATCATATAGTTGGAATAAGAAAATAAAAAGACTATACTTTCAACAGGCACAACAGCAAAGTAATACCGAGTTTTAAAATACGCATTAGTTTCAAAAAAATGAACAAAACTGTTGTAAGTATTGGTCTCACAGTAAAGTAATGCATATATCTACTAGATAACTAGTAATTCCCATTTCTGCAAATCAGATTCCTCACCTGACAAACAGCCCATTCCATACTGAATGCCCATTCTTTCTTCCCCATGAAGATACAAACATAAAAGGGAAACATTCTAGCCTACAAGATGCTACAAGCGCTATATTTAGCCCTTTTCACTGAAAACTCAGTTTCTGACTATGAGTGCTTGGAAGAGAAAAATCTTTTTAACACTTTAGACTGCTGCCTTTTCCCTCTTCCCCAAACCATTTAACCATTCCTATTCACCTGTCACACATTCCTAATCCAGTGGGGATGGCCTGCCTGTTATAAATTATTTACTCTTATAGACTAGAGTCTGTTTTCCCTGAGATTGCACCCAGGGTGAAGATCAAGCAAGCAACACTCAGCATCCACATGTGCAAGGTTTGAGCCAGATGGGAGGAAGCAGACAGGAACTGATCCATGTTTTACTGTACTTGGCATTTGCCTTCTGCAAGTTGCTTACAAGCGGATCACCAGCACAGGTATGTTTCGATACACCATCATTTTTTCTAATGCCAGTGAGCTTCTTCATATACCTGAAAACTGCCTGACTTGAAAACTACAGGTATAAGCAACTCATCTAGTATGCAGTGGTCTGTTTTCTCCAAAGAAATATCCTGGGGTACTTTATCACTGGACAACACTAGGTCTTTAAGTGACTGTTAAATCTAACTTTCCTGTGTTCAGCTGCTGATACTACTGAGTACCTCAGCTGTAGTTTTCAGTACCTTCTGGTGTTGTTTGAGCTCTTCCAAGCATATACTTTTACAGCTCTGTAAAAGCTATGCAAAAGAACTGAACAAAATGTGGGGAAAATGACAGGACTGCAGAGAGGAAAGAGAATGCAGAGTGAAATAAGGGATTAAAATTGAAAGGATGGGGGTGGATTTGAAAAAGAAGTTTAAAGAAGAATGTTGACCAGCTAAAGGGAAAGGGAACTGGAAAAGGGAAATCAGAAATGTTAATGTGTGATGGAGCACACAGCCACACCTTCGTATCTTCTAATATCCAATCATGTTTTCCAAGTGACATCCCAATCACTTTTCTTATGAAAACTCATGCATAAGTAAAAGACATGGAGATGAGAGCTGCACTAAGCAGACTCTCGTTAGCTGTAAACATCAGTGAAAACACAGAATTTCAAGTATCCAAGACTGAAATATTTACACGGTCAAAGAATAAAAACACATGTGTCTGATAGACACATCTACAGACTAAATGGGGCCAGGGCAAGTGGAAACTTTTAATGAAATGTATTACCAGTCACTACAAATATATGAGGCATGAAAACAACTCTGAATGGAAAAAATAAATTCTAAGTGCAAGTATCCTGTTGTTCATCTGTAGTCTTTCTTGCTGGATTTAAGGAAAATATGCATGTTTCCAGGCAAGGTAGGACAAAGATATTTTGGGTTTAAACATTATCTTGTGCACACTACATCTGAATCTTATCACCTTCTGATGTGTGATAGTGCTCCTTTAACCTTTGTTACTCAATTACTGAACAAGTTATCTCATTGTTATTCTCTTTTGAAGGAAGAGTTGTGCCTCTTTTCATGCTGATAAGAGACACATAAACATTCACTCCCAGCAAACATTTAATTGTAAAGTATCTTGAGCAAACTACTAGAGTCTAAAGGTAGGAAGTTGTGGTTAACTTCTCTGCTATCTTAACCCTTTAGTCAATCCACCAGAACAGACACAGAAGATGGATGTTCTTTTTTTACAAATGAAACAGAAATTATTGTTCTCTAAAAGAATGGACTTAATAACATGGTTTATAATACAGCAAATAAATCTGGAAGTTAAATACTTACCCATTTTCTGGGTCGGCCTCTGGGTCGCTTTTCACCAGCGGCTTCTGCTCCCTGTAAAGGGAAAAGAAACACAGCATATTTTATACCTCAGCATTACTTAACAGCCTCAGTAACTAGGAATTCCTTTCCTGTAACATTAGCTACAATTATATCTCTTGGGTGGCACTAGGCCTCCTGCCTAATCTATGTGTTTTCTGGTAGAATTCGATTATGTCAGTTTTACTGACATTTCTTAGCCAGTGTGGCCAGGTGATGCCTCACCAGCGCCCAAGGGTGCCCCCAGCCCTAATCCACATCGTGTGGAAGGGCATGGAGGAGTGTGGCCACACACACACACAGCTGCTCAGTGCCCACAGTAGAGCCTGGTGTGCCTGAGCCTAGGCCAGCCATGGAACGTGCAGGCTGAGGATGGGGACACAGGGCAGCCTGGAAACCTGAGAAACCCCAGAAGCATCAAATCTAGTCTTTCACAGGCTATCAAAAAGTACTTGAAGTTACTAAATTAAAAATACTGCCTGTTTCAAGCCTGGTCAAAGCAGTTTATAGCAGCTATAATTCCTTTTTTAGACTCATTATGTTCAGGCATGAAATGGATTAGACAAAATATCACCATGAATATGTCTGTGTTCATAGTGGGAAATAACTTCTCTACTTTTCACTTGAAGTTTTCCAGGTAAAAGCACATCCTTAAGCTGTAAGTGAAGCTTTTACTGTCCAAAACACACCCTTCCTTTCCAGGTTTAAGGAAACGGCATGGAAGGGTCCCTAAAAGTGACAGCTGTATTTATGGAAGCCCTGTGTTTGTTCCTAGAGCTCAGCGTAAAGAAGAAGTCCTCTTACAGACTCTTCCATTAATTTACATTGTGACATTGCGAATAGTACTACAACTAATACTAGTACTTATGCACTACACTAAAATACATACAGAGTTTAAAATGAAAAATTCAGGTTATTTTCTCTACATAAGCTATGCCCATCCATACACTCCATCAGGTAAATAATCCTGTTCCACTGAGGGTGATGAGGATTTGCCACTACCTTTAGTCAGGGCAGAATTTGCCACATAAGAAGTCCCCAAGAATGAAGACTTCTAGTACACGTGAATTGCTTTTCTTTTCCCCCCAGTTAACTGTATGTGTATTTGATTTGCCCTTAGAAATCAACTGTGCCATTAAATAAATCACTTGCTGGTCAATCTCTGTAACATATACTGTAACCTAATGCTGTGTAAATTGGATCTCTCTAAAAGAGAACCTGAGCTGAGGAACTAGTGGAGGAATCTCTACAAAAAAACTGCCCTGTGAGTTAAACACAATTACTTTGAAATAAATACCTTGCCAATAAGAAAGCTGTGAAAAATAAAATTCACACTCCTAAAGGGCAAAATTATCACTCAGACTTGTTAAAAGAGTAAACTTGAGCTTTAATCGTTTATACCAGTGTTACATGTAAGGTGAAACCCTCTTATGAGAATACTTGTTAAAGTGCATTTACTATATCCTGTAGCTGTCTATTTCAGAGTTTTGTTTCCTGTAAGTGTTCATTTCTTTATACCTTGTAACATGATGGATGCAAAAAAAAAAGATGTGATTTAGTTTTGATAAGCTTTAGCCCCCTGCATCTATGTTTACTTCATGAAACACTGGACATAAACTTTAAAAGAAAATATTGGTTAAAATTGTTCTTAACAAATCAACACCTGACGTGATCAAAGCACTAATGCCATTTACTTTCTTCTGTGTATTACCACATCTGAAGGAAAGATCCTTTTCCAAAACTCTATTAAAACCAAATTATTAAAAAATAATTAACTTTTTGGAAACAAAAACAACTTTGTCTCACAATTGAAGTTCCTACAAACCTGACACAAATTGTAACTTCAACTACAGCACACAATCTAGTTATCTAGTCTCTAGAAAAAGAACATGAGAGATTTCTCTGAAAAACTAATCTTTGCTTCCTGCCATAAACTGTTACACAGTGTTGCCACTTGCCATGAGCAGTGCTGCGCTTTACCACTGAGGAAGGTCCATGTCAGAACTGGCTAGTGTTCCTCCTGGCTAGTTTGGATATCAGTTCGTCAAGTGCTTGGGGACCTTTCAATTGAAAGGCACTAAATTCCTGCTGTATATCACTTCTACCTCATGTTAGAAGAAAAATATTTCCATAGTTTTTATCAAAATTAAATCTTTCCCAGAGGTGAGCTGAGCAAACAGTCGTCAGGCATGCCAGAGATGATGTTTTGGTACAGAGTGATTCTGTAAGCAAAAAGCAAGGTGTTTTTTTTTCTGCAGACTAAACTGAAGAAAATGAATGACAAGAACCTCCAAAGTGGATGTTTGTATCCCCTTTCCAAGAAAAGAGAAAGACAAAACACTTCTGGAACAACCAAAAGGAGTAGTGCCAGTACAGTGGTAATGATAAAGTCATGAAGTTTAGGAAAATATTCTAACTTTTTCCCTCCAGATTGTTTTTTAGTTCGCATTTTCTCCAACAGTACAAGACTATCTTTTAATTTAAGCACTTGAAGAAATGTTTTACTGCAAATCAGATCAATAATACAATGTTTCCCCATATAATTTTCAATTAAGAGAAGGAACACATAAGTGCCAAAACACTGCCATTCCTTTGCACAGGTATTTACATCATTAGAAACACACCAGTCTGTTGGCTCTTTGCTTTAATTAAGTGTTGCCTCTGAAGCTAGGGGCAAACCCAGAGAGAGTGCCAGGCCACTCAAAGGTGGTGTTTAGTCAGGGTTTTCTTAACATTTGGTGCTACACTATGAGGCATGACCTTGCTCCATACAACTAAGACGTGAAATCACCAAACTTAAAGAAAGGTTGGGTATGTTATCAAACACAAAACATATTCCATGAAAAAATATGAAATTTCTTATAAACAATAATATGAATACAACAATTTTGGTATGTCACATTTTAGGAACAGAATTAAATTTATTCTTTATATCCACTTTTAAGAGCATGATCCATATGGGAAATGTTTTTTATTTGTCCCAGGTGAGAAAGATTACCATTCCAGTTACTGCTGTCTGGAAGCGAGCTAACAGTTCCCAGGCAGATTTGCATCCACCTAAGCCCTGTACCACAGGTCTATCAAACCCTGATTACAAATAGCTCCAGTCAACCCTCGGACTTGACTGCCCATCATCTCTGCCTCCCTGTTGCAAAAATGTGCTGTGCCCAGGCAGAAACTGAGGCTGTACTACTGAAAGCAATTAACAAGACAAGACAAGTATAAATAATTGAATGGCTATAAAGCGCTCTTTTGGGCATCTATCCATTGTCAAGGAAGACCTCAAGTGCAACAGAATCCAAATCTGAAGAACTCTATCCACTTTGCAAACTGATCTGCTGGGATCTCAAACAAAATGTGTCAGAGCTGTAAGTCAGGTGAAATAAGCGAGAGTTTGGGAGGAAGATCACCGTTAAACCGTGTCAAAAGACTCGCACAGAAACATGTCCCTCTCGAAAAAAACCCAGTCATTTGGTAAAAAAAAATAGTCTTAAAAAAACCTTAGGTATTGGCTAAACGCAAAAATATCACACTTTCCATGTTCTGTTTTATCCACTTTAAGCAAGAGTCTTTTGCTTTCACCATCTTGCTCAGAATACCCGATTTTGATATCTCTTCTTTTTTCAGTGCAATAACCATGCTACAATCACTTGATAAATCTGATCGTGTTTTCCCTCTAAACCTGTAATGATTAGTTTGGTGAAAATGAATGAAGCACAGAGAAGCCAACTAGATTTTTGTGAATGAATTTAGGGCACAGTTCTGGTCACATGCACTTCTCTGGTTTGGTGGTTTTCTGTTTGTAGTTTTTTTGTTTTCTTTTTTTACCTTTGGACTGCTTAACCCAGGGACATGCACTTCTACATACCAAACTCTAGCCATGTTATGTAGAGACTAATGTAGAGACAGTAGCAAGTGTAGTCACACACAGGATCACAAGTTCTCATTTTCAGAAGGTGATCTATCAAACTCTGTAGGTATTTTCAGTGAATCTCAATACATTACTAACTACAACAAAACTCAATATATTTTAACTTAAGGTAAATTTTACGAAAGAGCTCTTACCATTAGATATTCCTGGGATATCCCTTGACAATTTCTTGAAAGACAAAAACATGGTATCTATCGCTTCTTTTTTAACCTCACAAATGTGTTTCCTGTTTCCAAGTAGGAGAGTATTTATGCCTATACAGTATTTTTGCCAAGCCAAACTACACTAGCTAAAGAAAGAAAAGCCCTTGAAAGGGAAATGTGATGGGCTGGGAACCCAGCTCAGTATAATACATAAAACTCAAATACAGAACACCCAGGAAATTAAAAAGGAAGATCCACACTAGCATCTTCCTGGAAAACTAGTTGTGTTTTAGGGGAAAAAAAAAACCACTTCACGTTTTGCTATTTTTTTACAAATATTTTAAATTAATAACAGAATAACTTCTTTAAAGACGTAGACTGCAGTAACAACCCAATTGTGGGGACTCAAGTGCAAGGTGATCAGGAATCTTTTTGTATCTATCTCTTCTCATCTGCTAACACATTCTGTTCCTTCTGTTTGTGAAAATTAAACAACTGAGAAATGGTTTGGTCTTCCATAAAACGCAGCTTACCTTCTGTGTCCAATTTATAACAAGTTAGGCATGTGTGATATGCAATTCTTAAAAAAAAAAAAAAGGCATATTACCTAAAATTAGAGTAATTGCCACATTATTAGCTGTTCAGTTAGTTTTGCAACATTCTGTATGCATTGTCAAGTTTCACACTGCTAATTTCCTACCAAGCACTTTATTTTCAGATGCCCTAAGGCCAGTTTACTAAGACCAAACATAAGCTCTGAAAGCTTAAAAAAAAAACAAAAACAAAAAACCCCAGAAAAATCCTGTCTACCAAGAAATTTTAAATACACAACATTACCACGATTTCAGGGTAAATTGTCCATCAACTGATTTAAGGGTATTTCCTTTCTGAAGTATAGCAAAACAAAGCCCCAGTTCTGGAGTATTTTTAACTCACTGCCAATGTGCAATACATTTTTAATTGTGATGTGTAATGCTTTGCAAGAGAACACCCAATCAATTAATCATGAGTGCGCCTTCTTATGGCTGCTCGGTGGGTTCTCCTGGTCAACGTTTATCTAACATGTTGTGAACACTCTAAAGCATTTCAATGAGCTCCCTTTGAAACACACACTATTCTTTAGAAATTCCAGCAAATTCCAGTTGGGTGTAGAGTACACCCAGGTTCAAATGTAGAGGGGCTTAAGCTAAGATAGACAGCCCTCCTTCTCAGAGCTGAGACAGGCTGGAGAAAATCTTAATAAATTTGTGTATGCATATGTATATGTAAATATGTTTAGCACAAAATCAAACATATAGCTCACTCTTTTTAGAGGTGATACCCTCACCACCAAATGAAGCTTTTTTACAGTGCCAAAACATTCCCATGCATATTACTGTTAAAAAAACTATTGGAATTAATATTACATTAAAAGATACTTTGAGATGCCTGGTGAGAAGCCAAACCATTTTAGAGAGGGTCAATTATCAATTTGGAAAAAGAGTTAAAATATTTATTTGAAATGGGATCCCAGTCGCTTTCTTCTAGTAAGGCTTTATAAGTGTTTTATGTTTTAGAGGATTTATCAAACATTTATATACTTTATCTACAAACCCAGAAACCAGTAAGACTTGTAATTACATACTCCTCAAAGTTTTTTTTTATTATAAAAAAAGACGTGGTCTTTGGTCAATTTTTTACACTAGCAACACCCAAAAGGGTTTGCTTTAATTACAGCAGTAACTTGATGCATTCAGAAAATCCAAATGTTATAAGGAAATTGCTCAGTTTGTAAATTAGATTAAGAAAACACAACTATGTACCAAAATCATCTGGAAAACTTTTGACTTGATAAACCTACACATATATGAATGTTTTAAGTTATTTTCCATTTATACTGATTTCCAAATTAGTCATGTAAATGAAACAATGTTAATATTTCTTTTAGAAGAATCTTTTTAAAACATATTTCTATGAATTACTTAAAATCTAATCTTATTACAAATATTTCTCCTAGAAAGCCAACACTCCTAGGAGTAATATTCAAAATACTAAAGCTCACATTTGGATTTGCTAGACTAATAAAAAAAAATGCTCTCTCTCTTCTCAAGAGTGACATTTAAACTATTTCAAAGTACATCTGAGGAACATTTTTATAAAGAAAAAAACCCAGCATTTTAAGCACGTTACCTCGAAGAATGACTTTGACATATTTTAAATACCTAACCTGTAAAGTATTTTTTAGTAATTCATTAATTTCTGGATAGAATATACTGGGTTTTTTTTCAGTCCAGAAAGTAAAAAAAAATTAAAAAATCTGAATTTAAAGAGTTGGAAAATTCACACAAATGTTGAAAACATTTTAGACAAAACAGGCATGAAACCATAGTCACCTCCTAATGATTAGATATTTATCAGTAGTTGCTATAGTAATTTATAACACTGAAAACTATAAACTTAATTCTGGACAGTACCATAGGCAAATGAACCATAATTAGATGAGGACACAAATACCTTTGACACAGGTTTTGTCACAGACCTCCTTAAAAGATACTGATACGAGTAAGCTCTACAGTCCACTACCAGATTTTGTAAGCTTTTGTTTCCAATTTAGTACCTGTAAATTAGTGCTAACTGCTGTATAATTATCAACACAAACAAATTTCCCATACTTGTTTTCAACTATATACAACTACTTGCCTTCCCTAAAATATTTCCTAGAGAGTGGTATTATTTGCCTTGACAGTGTAGGTTTTTAATGCTGTGCTTTCCCCAATTCAAATAAAATTAAGTCACTGTATTTGTGATGTAAAGTCCATGCACTAAATACAGTGACTTCAGAGAGCTTCTCCTACAGCTAAATGCATTCAGAACCACCAGAATAAAAGTTTGCTCCCATCATCAAGCAGAAGTAGTGGTTCAGAAGACTAATAGCACTTCCAGTAAAAGTCTCTTTGAAACTGATTATTAAACAAGATATAGCAGGCTTTTACTGTAACTCACAGTTTACTTAGCATCACATTTTAAAGCTGTACATTTCAGTATATGCACTTATTTCCATCAACACATAATTGGATTTACCTCTAATTAACCTATGTTTGACAAAGCACTCAGCTTTAATATACAGATTTGGTCTGTAGTAGTAACAACTGTAAGTGGGCAAGAAATTAATCTTCCTCTTACAAAAATTTTAATGAAGAAAATAATATCCTTAATATTGATTTCCTTACTAGATACAGGATATCTCAATGGTTTCTCATCATATACATTATGTTATTTCACTAACCTGTACACTACTCAAAAAGCAAGATGCCCTTATAGGTTCTGTACTTATGGTCTTCATGTTAATTCTAGTTTTAAAAATGCAAAATTCATGTTTTATGTAGCTTCCATTATTAGAAGGGTTCCAACCTCACAGTTCACAGCCTAAATGATTGGATTTTTTCCTACCAGCTGATGAAAAAACAGCATTAGTAACTCTTTCCCTTTAATAGTCTCACCTTCTGAGCTGCTTTAGAGGGACTCTTATTTTTGCTTCCTTTGGGTCTTCCTCTTGGTCTTTTAGGAGATGGTTCACCAGTTGGTTCCTAAACACAGGAAAACATGCTATTGTGGCAAAAGGCAACAACTAACCCAGAAGATCTGAAGGATAAACTATAACAGAAGTTGCTTAAAACATATGAATTAATAGTATAAATAACATAATAATAAAAATACAACATGAAAAATTAAACAACTCCACGTAAAAAAAAACACTTTTGCACAATAAAAGAGTTTAACTTCCCTTATAATCGCATTAAAAAACTTTGAAAAGTTTGTATATTCAAACGTAAGTTATAGGAGGAAACATATTTTTTAAAGATAGCTATGATTTCCCTCATATAAGAATGGTTATTCACCAAATAATACAGTTACCCATTTAATTGCAATTGCATTTCATTATAACAAGATAAAATTATAACATGTAGCTTGTAGCACAAACTTTCTTTGGGAAAAAAGTTAAATACCGGATTACTGTAAAGTAAGCTGAGACTATTTCTCCCTCAAGGCCACAAATACTGGGGAGGGGGGATTTTTTTTCTGTTGTTCTGAAGTCGGCATTATATTCACACCTATTCTAAAAATAATTCATTTGTATTAAAATGCAAATGTAAAAGTTTCTTCAAATATGAAAATAGTAAGCCAGAAAAACTCAACCAAAGAAAAATCTGAAACAAAACCCCAACTCTAAGATGAGTTGACAGGAACACTGATTACTTTAGCTATTTTCTTAACTAGTTCCTTTGCCCGACAGTAAATATCCAGTTCTTAAAACTGGGTATGAATTACTAAGAGTTCGGATTCCAAATATTTATTCAGTGAATCATAAACACTATAAAACTCTTCCAGTCTTAAATATTATACATTTCATTCAGGTTACAGGATGTGGTAAAAGTAATTAAATGCAGTTTGCTAACTTAAACCAGTTTAAACCCCTTCAGCTTTTATAATTCCCAGGTAGATTAAGAGGAGGTTGGCGAGAGGACTCCCCAAGTGCTCCAGCTCAGTGGTGAGCCTCGCAAGCACTGCACATCTGGGCTGAGCACGTTGAAGGAGACGCGCTTTTCTTTCACTTCCATACATTCAAATGCTATAGGAGGAAAAAAAAATAAAATAAAGAATACAGGAAAAAAAAAAAAAAAAGGAAAAAAAAGAAAACGGACCCCTGGCGCAAGTCCGCAGGGCCGGAGGGTGCCGGCTGCCGAGGCTGGGCGAGGGCAGCCAGAGGGTGAAGCGGGAAGGGGGACAGAGCCCGCAGCCGGTTCGGTGGAGTGTCACCGACGGCAGAGCGAGAAAACTGGGGTCTCCGCTTTTATGGCTTTCCAAATAGTACTTTCTGTGCAATTTACAGGACCATATCGGAGCGGGGGATGGGGGGTGGGGGGAAGTAAAGCAGACGGTTTCCCCCGGCTACCGGCTCTGCTCCTCAGCTCCCTCCGTGCTTAGAGCTCCTCGAAGGTTCTCGTGGCAGTGGGGCTGATGCCAAATGAATGAGAGTAAACATGTTTAAAGCCCGCGGAAGCTCGCTCTAAAATGAGCTCCTTGGACAGCCCTACTCCTCAATCGTGACTTCCGAGAGAGGCAGGGAAAAGGCTGCGGGCGGCTTCGCGCTGCTCCCGCCGAGCTGCGGGAATTAATTGGTTGCATCCGCAGGCAAAATCCCCCTTCGGCGGCGCCGCCGGAGGGGCTGCAGAGCGCGGAGGCTCCCGCCTGGCCCCTCACCCCGCGGCGGGGGCTGAGCGCGGCCCGGCAGCTCCAAACGATGCGACAATGGTACTTCGGGAAAGGAAGAGAAGGTGTGGGGGGGGAGAGGGGTGTGGGAATAATGCACGGATCTAGCAACCTTAGCGTGGATTCAGGTCTTGCAAGTCAAAAAGAGAAACCCAGCGCGTCCCTTTAGGGGCCCGGGAGGAGGCTGTAGGTTGCGGGTGGGAAGGAGCTCCCCGCACCCAGCGTTCCCGTCGCCTCGACCTGCCTGCAAAAGCGCCGAAGCAAAGGCAAAAGGTGTTGCAAAAGCAGGGCAAGCCTCCTCCGGCTACTTCCCCCACCTCCATCGACAACGGGGGCACCTCTGCATACGATGACGGGGCGAGGGAGGGAGATGAGGAAGGGGGGAAAGCCGGGGGGCGGGGGGGGAGGCGAAAAAACCTATGCGACTTTCTAGACACCCTCCTCTCCCCCCAGCCCCAGGATCTAGGGGCAGTCAGGGGCTGGGCTGGTCAAGATCGGAGGCGGCAGCAGCGCCCGGTGGGACCCGACACACGCACATGCACGCACACACACGCACGGACTGAGCTGTTGCGAGGGCTGAGAGAGAAGGGACAGGAGAGCCCCGTTCCTTGCTCCTCGCTTTCGCAATTTCAAAATCAGCTCGAAATGACCCAGCGAACGCTGGTTGGTCGGAGCCGCGCTGCTCCATGTTCCCCATTTACATTGAAAAGCCCCAGCTCGCTCCCTGCACAATAGTGAAAGTCCCGAGGAGGCTCCGAGGCTCAGCCACGAGCAGGCAGCGCCTCGCCGCTTCGGGCCCCAGGGTCTCCCCGGCAGAGCGCCCGGCGGAGCCCCTCGCTACGCCTCTGCACCACCTCGCCGGGAAGCAGCACACAACAAAGCCCCCCACCCCGTCGCCAGGACTGCTTCATTTGCAGCACAATACGTACATGTACATGCCTACAACACTACAGATCTACGTCTCTACGTTTTTATACGATACTGACTTCTGTTTGTTTCCTGGGTCTGCCTCGTCCTCTCTTCTGAAGCTCTGCGGTTGCAGGTTGATCCTGGGCAGCAGTGGAAGGCTGACCGGGTCCCTCACCTTGTGCACTCATCGTGATTTCTGCTGCTCAGCCTGAAACCAGTCTCTCCAAAGCACCTTGGAAGGGGAGGAATCAAAACGAGCTCTTGCTGCTTTTGCTGCTCGCTGCCACCACCACACCGGACGTCCTGGTGCTGCCAAAAAGGAGAAGAGAAGGGGAGAAGGAGGAGGAGGAGGAGGTGATGGTGGTAGTGGTGCTGGTGGTGGTGGAAGAGGAGGGGGAATTAATCTCTCTTACAATTTAGGAATGATTAGTAACATGAAGCAATTCAAAAGAGGGGAGGAAAAAAAAAGAAGAAAAGGCAGAGTAAGTTGCAACCCTGGAAATAGGAGAGAGGGAAATACTCCGAGGGTAGTCGGGAGCAAACCAAGAAGGGGGGAAAAATCCTACAAATTGAAAGCAAGTGGTGGCTATCGCGCTTAGATCGGATCAGGACAAATTAAGATAAGACACACTGAAAATGGACTGAGAACACTGCACAATCTTGCCAAAAGCATGCACCCTGGGAAGATGGGGATTTCGGCAGCAGCAGGAGCAGCGCGCAAAAGGAGCGATCACTTAAAAAATAATAATAAAACGATTTGGGAGATTGGGAGGAAAAAAAAGGGGGGGGGCGGTCCTGAGTTCGTGTCTGTGATGCGAGTTGCTGAGACTGGAAATATTATTATGCGAGTCCTGCCCACGGACTAAACTAGGATGAGGGTTAAAAGAAAAAAAAAAAAAAAGGAGGAAAAGAAAAGCCACTTTTACCCGTGGGTGGAAAAACCAGGAGGGGGCTGTGCGGAAAAAAAAAAAAAAAAAAAAAAAAAAGGAGGAGGCAGAGCGAAAACCCGGCGATGGGGGCCTGGCGGCCGGCCAGATAAAACACGAGCAGCACGGCAGCCGGGGCAGCGGCGGCAGAACGCGCCGCCGCCTCACGGTGTCCCGCACCGGCCTGCCGCGCCGCCACGGCAGGTTATAAAGGCGGCCAGCCCGGAGAGGTCCGCGCGGGGGCGGTTACTGCCGCCCCGCACACACCGCCACAACCACCGCACACACCGCACACACCGCACAACACCGCCACACCGGCACACACCGCGGCGCCGCTGCACGTGGGGCCGCTGCGGAAACCCAAAAGGCGGCCCGCGCCGGGGACGGCCCGCGGACGCCCGCCGCGGCTCGGCCCCGCCGGGCTCGGCCCCGGGCAGCGGGGCCCCTCCGCCGGGCTGCGGCTTGGCCAGGGAAGGCGCTGCTATTGCAGGCACAGGCTCGGCAGCCTCCCCCGAGACGGCCGCGCCGGGGTAAGATGTGGGCGGTGTAACCCGACAGCGGGTCGAACCTGTCCTGTCGGGAGGGTGACGGACCGGGGAATGACCTCTTGCGGCGTGCCCTGCCCCATAAGTAGTTTTTCCCATACGCTCGGCGGGGCTGCAGGCGGTACCTCTTCACAGACGCGGTAAGCAGGGTGTCCAGCAGCCCTCTCTCTACGCCGATGTTAGGTCCTCTCCCGTGCAAGCCGTGCGTAGGCGCCCCTTCTCTGTGGCATAAGCAGACGGCCACAAAGGCCAGGGAGGACCACGCTGTCTGTGCGTTTCCCAAAGAAAACGGTCGGACCTGGGCTTCATGGGCACCTTGGGCATTTCCTCCAGTCCCATACATCCCTCAAGGTCAGATCGCATCCTTCCTCCCCTACTCAGAGGTGGACGAGCACAGGAGAGTCCTCAGAAGGAAATAAAAAGTTGCATTATCGTATATAATACTGAAGAGGGCAGAGATACTGCTGCAACGCTCCTTGTACTGGCTATCGAAATACAGCCAGTTGTCTTGATACCTTATAAATTCTTAAGTCTATAGATAAATAACATACTCAGGCAAAAAGTTACTACAGTAAAACATATGCAGTCATTGACCAGCAAGGGCTGCGCTGAGGAAACAGCTGTTTTCTGAGGAATAGAAAAAGTACACTACAGACAGATGGGCTAAAGAAAGAGTAATCCTAGAATACTTCTTAAGGCTGAAAATATTCCCAAAGTGTTCTTAATCCAATCATAAGGCTCCCAAAGCCTGCTTCCCTCCCATCCCCAAAAGCAACCAGCTATGGAAGATAGACACAGTCCACCTGTTCAATGTAATAGCTATAAGAAAAGTCTTGTAGTCCCAACTACACTTCGTACAATACTCAGTTACCATCACACCATGAAGCAATCCACAGGGCCCTACATCTATTCTGGATATCAAATGATAAGCTGCTGTATGAGATCAGGATTCCAAGCGGAGGCTGTGAAATCTATAGTTTGAAGTGTAGCAGCACATAACCTCTATAACATCCATTAATCTCTTTAAAGCATATTCATGTATCCATTTCTCTGAAAGAAAGTGGTACATGAAATTGGTAAAAGTCTGTAGCTCCAAAATGGCCATCTCCGCACAGTCATTCTATATGGGCTATTAATAGTTCTACTAGTCTTCCTTTCAGTAGTTTTAGTACCTATACTGTAGTCCAAAGATTTTTTACATATAGTTATAAACAAATAATCTTCATATGGAAGTAGTGTTCCTAAAATCACTGTTTGAAAGCTGCTCCAGACAAAAAAGGTCTTGACGCTTGCACTGTGCCCAGCACAAGAGTTTGGGTCTTTCTACAATCTGCCAACAGATGCACCGTCATAAGAGTTAGTATCCAAGATCTAAACCACGGTGGGTCTTTCATTTATTTGAAATTGTCCTGATTACCTCCTTAACCAAAAGTCCTTAGATTAGACCAATGTGATACTCCTGATGGCAGCTCTGGAGATACAAAGCTGTCTAGACTAATAAAAAAACTTGGGTTTACGTCATGTATATTCTGAGTATTTTAACAGAGGTAAACAACATGATATCCAGAACCCAGAAAGCCCGGCTTTCGCAAGTGGCTGGTAGAAGCTGAGGAGCCAGAAACAGCTCTTGGTTTTATCCCAGGTTCTTTTCCAAAAGAGATGTGGTAGCTGTTCCTTCCACTGTTCCAATCTATTTTCTGACAGTATAACTATATTTGCACTATATTCCATGCAAACACCAGTGAATACAACTGTATAATTAATTTGAGGGAATCCTGCAAAGTCAGTGGAGTAGAGATGACCTACTTTCCACTAGCTTTGGTCTGAGATTTAAGCTTTGGTCTATCAACAAAAGTATTAATTGTCAGTGCTTTTTTTTTTTCTTTTCCACCCCAGAAGCATTCATAATAAGATAGGAAATTTATAGGCATAAAATAAGGCCTGGTTTCACTCTCCATGGGTTTAAATACTCAGGAAATTTCCAAAGAAATAAAAGGAACTGCCTAGAAGATTAAGAAGAAGACAGTGAAAAATAAGGTGCAGATTTTGTTACCTAACCCAGAACACTTGGAGGCCATTTGTTTTTCTGTAGTCAGTGTGGTGGCTTGTAGAGGGTTAATTGTCTCTGTTCTGAGACAATTTTTTCAGTTGTGTATTCTAACAGCAACAATAATATTTTGCATCAGAACAAAGAACCCAACATTGCAGGAAAGTATCTTTTAGGAAGACAGAAAATTACAGGTTAAATAGGCCTTGGAGCTTATAAATAGCACCAATAAATGGCTTTCCTTGCTCACTTCTTCATCACCTCCTTTCTCAAAAGTCCGTGGAGGCCGAAGAATCACAGCCTATAAATCAATAGGCTCATGCTGTGCATGGTCATGGGGAGATGTCACCTATAGACAGCAACCTAACATAATCCATACGTAAGTATAACTGACTTCCACTTGTGGAATTCTGTGGGCTTAGATGGTCTCAACTGGCAGTTCTTTACACAAGGAGAGAACATTTTTTTTTCCAAGTTATAACATTTCCTTGAAGGTCTGTGATGCAGACTGTGTGATAGAAAGTTTGTCACCAACTTTACAGTGCTTGCTCACCATGTGTGTAAGAGTGCAAAGAGTCACGGCACCTCTCTGTTCTGCTCAAGGAGGTCATGTTTTCTCCATCCTAGTTCTCATGGAATATAAGATACTCAAAAGTGGTAGTGATAGTAAGTTTAAGACCTTAGCTCAGGGAGAGCAGCAATATTTTAACTTTGAAAGGTCTCTGGCCACGGTGGGAGAGCAGATGGTAAAATTTACAAGGATTTTTCTGCTCATTTCCTCAGCTCTTCAAGGAGCTTACAGCTCTACACTGCCTCAGAAAGCTCCTTAGTCTACCAGTGCTAGAGATTGCCATGTCTAGAGGGGTTGTATATTGGTTGGGTAGTTCACTTTTGTGGCCAGCCAGAGCAGCCAAAGATATTTGTGTACTCAAAGGCTACACTGGGTACTCAACGAGCTGGGAATCCTAATATTCTGCTTCTAGAGAAACAGTCCTCACAGGAGAAGTACATTTTGCAAACATTGTCTGTATTTCTGGGAAAAGTTAACTTTTGTTTTCCCTTGTTCTTTTTGAATTGGCTCCCTCTGGTCTTTGGGGATGCAAGACAGAAGAGAGAGGAAACTTGAGTGCACTTATCAGATGGGCCAAGGTGAATCACCACTCTTCCACTCTTTTCATCTAGCTGGTGGGACCAACAGTGGTCTGCTTCATAATCAGCAACCTGGAGATGGCTGGGAGAATGCTTTAGGGAAGCATGACTGTGACTGACAAACAAGATCCAGAGAAGAACATTAAGGCTCACTCTCAGGCCTTGCCTGCACTGGGGAATTTTCTTCCCTCCTCCAAATTCCCACCATTGCCAATATGAATGCAGCTGCACAATTGTTAGAGATGTTGGGAGGCATAATATATGAGTTTTCATCTAGTCAGACATTTGCAGCACTGTGTCAATTAACCCTCCTCAGAGCAGGGTTAACTGATACAGTGCTGAAAATGGCTGCTGGAGCTGAAAGCTGTTTATACTAAGGTTCCCATTGTTGCTAACTCTGGTGCAGCTGCAGTGGAATAGGCCCACATGGGATTATTTGTTAACAATTCTCCAACCTAAAAGCTACTTCAAAATGCAACACAGCCACCTTATGGGCCAAAACATGCTTCCACTGCACCTCAACAGCTATACATGTAGGCAGTCACCATTCATAATAGGATTTCTTTCAGTCCAGAAGTTACTTTTTGCATTTCTGTATGAAATACTCAGTACTTCATCTCAGCAAATTGGTGTTCCTGTCCCCTCCATAGAACTGCCTCTGCTCATTAGTTCTCACTAGCTCTGGGCTTGAAGATGTGTCTTGAAAGAGCCAATTTTCTGGTAGTGTTTTTTCATTGATTCATACATTCATTAATTCAAAATAAAATTTGCCCTTTCACTCACAGAATCTTTGAATTTGTTTTTGGTTTTAATTTCTTAATGCAGATTCAGTTCTTTAATTTATGGCTGTAGTTTCTTGTTCACTAGCAATTTTGCTTTTTTATTGTTAACAAGTAAAACCTGATTCACGCAGAATAGCACCATGAAGACTAGCTGATTTCTGATAAAGTTCTATTTTGAATGAGCAGAGTTGGCAGAATCAGTCTCAAGTGTTTCCATGTGCTTTAGGAAGCAGTTGTGAAACAGGCTGCTGAAGTGGGTATTTCACCTTCTGCTTAGTAAGACTAATACTTCTAAAAAGCCCCTCTCTATCCTTCTCCCACATCCATGTCTAACACTAACTAAAACAAGAAAGTGTTGTTTGGCATTTGTTACACTTTTGAACAACTATTTATCAGACAGATGATGGCAGTCAGGTTTTTAAAGTGCAATCTGCAAGTGTGA